GAGCAGATGTAGTAAGGGTCCATAAAGGCCCCTAGAGATGCTTCTCATTTGCTTCCTTTAACAAAATAATAGAGTTGGAAGGGACCTTGGAGGTCTTCTAGTCCAACCCACTGCTCAAGCAGGAGACTCTACACCATTTCAGACAAATGGCTGTCCAATCTCTTCTTAAAAACCTCCAGGGATGGAGCACCCACAGCTTCTGGAGGCAAGCCGTTCCACTTGATTGATTGTTCTGTCAGGAAATTTCTCCTTAATTCTAGGTTCCTTCTCTCCCTGATTAGTTTCCATCCATTGCTTCTTGTCCTGCCTTCAGGTGCTTTGGAGAATAGGTTGACCCCCCCCCCTCTCTTCTTTTTAGCAGCCCTTTAGATACTGGAACACTGCTATCGTGTCACCCCCTTTTGTGCATTATTTTTCTCCCCCCCCCTTTTTAGTATGCTAATGCTTGCTCATTTTCTTACTGTCTTGCTTTCCCTGCCTTTCTAGCTTTATTTGAAAAAAATGTCCTGATTTAGAATTTAGAATAACAGAGTTGGAAGGGACTTTGGAGATCTTCTAGTCCAACCCCCTGCTTAGGCAGGAAACACTGTACCACTTCAGACAAATGATTGTGTTACCTAGTTGTGTAATGAAAGCTTGCTGACACAGATGGGGGGGGGAAACAGGGGCAAAGTTCAGCCACAATGGGGTATTGCCGAAATGGTGTTCCTAATAAATGACTGGATTTCTTTTGAAACTTGGCTCGGGGCTCATGAATTAATTAGGGCACCTTTCGGAAACCTGACAGACCGTCAGATCTGACCTCATTTAAATTATGGCTGAACTTTGCCTGTTTCTTCCCTCCCCTCAGTTTGTGTCATAAATCACATTCACTAACGAGGTGCACGCCTCACAAGCCTGCTGTAGTAATCTGAGATTCGACTCTAGCTGAAGGTATGCGTGGAATGTGTTCCCCCCCTCCCACTTTCCTCATCATGGCAACTTGATAACAGACATGCCAATGCTTTATGAGTTGACACTTGCAATATTAAATCTTCAATTTGATCATAACAAAACTTTCTACCTTTCCAATTGGAATCTTTCTCAGGCAGTCTTTGGCTAAGTCTCAGCCTATATGTGGAAGTAGATTGTGCAGTCTAGAGATTCTGAAGACTGCAGTGGAGGCAAATATAAAAAGCAACCCATCTTGGATACCCCATAAAATCTCAGTTTACAAATAAACTCTACTTTCTATGCTACCCTTTATCCCCTACTTAAAATACGTTTGTTCCCTAGATATCTTGAATCTCAAAGTTATGTATCATCCAATAAACATACCAAACTCTACCTGTGAAAAAGGAAACTTTTTTTTTACCTTTAATACTTTTTTAACACCATTAATAGTGGAGGTGAGTAACGAGTGCACTTTTTGATCATCATTAATGTAATCGGCGTGTCTGATGCACATAAAAAGGATGTAGGCAGGTAAGCAGGGAACTGTGGCAGATACTGTTTGGGGCTTCAGATCTGTGAGCAGAAATGAAAGACTTTAAACCACAGGATTCCTTAGCAACTTAAATAAAAATTCTATACAGAGGGGTCCTGGACACTTACCTAAATCAAAATTAGTCACCAAATTATTTTTATTAACTTACCTCACTCCTCTAGTATAAAATATATTTAAATGTCTGTCCTATTTTTAACAATCCCATTATGTATTTTGCAGTAGAACCATGCCACGCCAAGAAAGACAACGGAAATGAATAATGCTTGACGATAAATTGTTCAACGTATAAATCAAGTTTTTCAAGCTTTTAAAATGACATTACGCTTCTTCTCAATGTTATAAAGACTTTCTCCTTTTACAAGAATAACAATGGTGGAATCCATTACTCGGGGAAGTGCTGGGTTTCCTTCACTGGACACATTTAAGAGAAAACAGGCAGCCCCTTTTAAACATGGATTCCCCAATGAATAGAAAGGAGATTACCGTATTTTTTGGAATATAAGATGCACCGGAATATAAGACGCACCAAGGTTTTGAAGAGGCAAATAAAATAAAATAAAAGATTTTGCACTCTGCAGACCTTCCAAAAACAGTCCTTTTTCACGAAAACTGACCTGTTTTTTAATAAAAAAAGGAGCATGCATATCCTTTAGGAGTCTTGTAGAGTGCTCCTGGGGGCTGGGGGGGGGATGAGCAAAAAACAGTCCATTTTTTGCTTATTTTTGCCCTCCCCAGTTCCCAGGAGCACTCTGGAAGCCTCCTAAAGGCTATGCATGGTCATTTTGGTGAAGGGGTGGGGTTTCGGGAGGCCAAAAATGCTGTATTCAGTGTATTAAGACGCACCCAAATTTTCACTCTCATTTTTGAGGGAAAAAGGTGCGTCTTATACTCTGAAAAATGCAGTGCTTGATTACTTACAGTAGGTAAATCATCATCTTTTAACAACCCCATAATCCCTTGTGGGTTGGAGTCAGAGCAACTGAATAGAGCTGGGTATTTACTGGCTGGATGCCCTTCCTGTTGCCAATGCGGAGTTATATTCAGCAGATATATTCTCATTGTGCCCAGAGAGAGAAATATCTGCCTCTACCTAGGATCGAACTCACAGCCTCCTGATTGTGAGGCGAGTCTACAATCCTATGACTCTGATGAATAGATTTGTTCTTACTTCGGCAGCAAACTATTTACAAACCCCATTTATAACTATAATATTAAGGGCTAGACTTGAGAAGCTAAACAAAGTCGTTTTACCTGTAATGAGATTTTTTATGAGAGAAGATTCATCCTCTTCGCAATATTCTAACATCCCCTGGAAGTCTTTTTCCTTCCTTTGGACGGCGACGTGCCGGCTGATTTCGTGTTTCCGCTTTTCAGACTGTGTAACGGCTTGATCCGCTGTGAAAGACAAACCAAGAACAAAGTCAGCCCCTTTGAAGCAGCCGCACTCTTCACAGGTTCCTCCGAGGTCTGGTCGACTCAGTAGTGATGCCCCGGAGCTCATTGGAGCTCCAAAAATGATAATTGAGATAATACAGATATAAAATGAAAGTTCTGATTCTGGTTATAAAAAGCCAGGAGGAGGTTATGGAACTGTGTGGTTCCTTCTCACCTTCTTCAGAGTAAATTATACGGTAGAAACCAGCATTAACCTTGAAATAGATTCATAGCCACCCACCTGTACTCTAATTGCTATGATTAATATTGAGGTCTCATATCATGAAAACTAATTCTAAAACATCAAGTTGTATTTTACTCCTAAAAGTAAAGGTTCTCCTCGCACATATATGCTAGTCGTTCCCGACTCTAGAGGGCGGTGGTCATCTCTGTTTCAAAGCCGAAGAGCCAGCGCTGTCTGAAGACGTCTCCGTGGTCATGTGGCTGGCATGACTAAACGCCTAAGGCACACGGAACACTGTTACCTCCCACCAAAGGTAGTTCCTATTTTTCTACTTGTATTTTTACCTGCTTTCAAACTGTTGGCAGAAGCTGGGACAAGTAACGGGAGCTCACTCTGTTACGCGGCACTAGGGATTCGAACTGCCAAACTGCTGACTTTTCTGATCAACAAACTCAGTGTCTTAGCCACTGAGCCACCACGTCCTAGCAACTGTTCTTTCTAATATATATATATGCATGTATGTATACAAAGACACATGCATACATATACACGTTGCACCAAAAGTGCATAAACAAGTCCATAAACAATTCATTACATAAATTGCGTTAAATGCTAATTTCTTTTAAACACTTCCTTAATCATTTGACATAGGCATTTTGAGCATTTCTGCATACAGTAATTTTTCTATTAAAAAAATTAATTAGTAAAATATTGTAATTGACCTATGGGTTTTATTTTTTTGGTATGCTGTATATTTATGCAATGCACAGTCATAGAAAAGTAATGGGATTTTTAAAAGATTTTGAGGGTTTTTTTAATTTTCTTTTTTGCATTTTCATTCCCTTCTTTAACTTTTAGCTTGTATTATTATCTTTTGGTATATAATTCACTTAATAATAGTTCAAATGAAATGTTTTACTTTAGTTTTTGTTGATAATTGCATTATTTTTGTACTTGTATTCGTTGAAAGATTTGATGAAAATTATATTTCAGTGGTTTAAATATGCCTGCGGTATTCTAGCCATAGCTATTGCCTCATTTGCTATAGCTAACCTCACGTTCAGGACTCAGTAAAATTCTCTGGATTTTAGCTCTAGAGTAAGGGTCTCCAAACTTGGCAAATTTAAGACCTGTGGACTTCAACTCCCAGAATTCCTCAACAATCACGGAGTTGAAGTCCACAAGTCTTGAAGTTGCCATGTTTGGAGTCCCCTGTTTTAGAGAAAACATATATCATTATAAGTTTTAGACCAATCTGACATATAAAAAATAACCTTCAACTAAGAAGATGAAGATGGTACTCAAATTGTGGCTTTATAACCTTGTTAAGATAATGGATAATTTCTGCTGCCTCGCCTTCACTAAAGGAACAAATGCTGCAGTTGTGAAACACATTAAAAATGGTTATGAAGACACAATTCAAGTAACTTTCTGCCAGTCAGTTTCATGCCCATAAATTATAATGACAAGAACCATCTGTGCCAGTTGCCTTGATGTAGAGTCTTCAATTCCTTCGGCTGAATTTCATTTAATTATCAGAGTTTTGGATCCAAGCTGTGGTAGCTAATCACTCAGGCAAACCATCACAATCAAAAGAATATATTTCTAATATTCTGCTTCTCCTTTCCATGACTGCAAATGCATAGCTTTCTCTAAAAATCCACCTTTAATGCAATGAGATCCAGCAGATGGAGACATTCTCCTCCGATACTGCAAATAGCAAGACCAAAGGAAGATTTGACAATAACAGGGGATAAAAAAACTTTTTAAAGTTTTCTAGTCTAGCCCTTTCAATAAGCAGAAAAGCAACTATCCAATCAATGCAGTGGGCTACGTAGAAGGACATGGAAGGACATGGAAATGCAAAAAAATATGTTTTAAGACAGACAGGGCTGTCCATTTAACACCTGCCTCCCTTTCAGAGGTGGGTTCCTACCAGTTCGCACCTATTCGGTAGAACCGGTTCGTCAAACCTACCGAACCGGTTAGAAGAGGTTCCACCAGTCGACCTGGAAAGCAGGCCACACCTACAGAAGAGGTTCCAAACTTTTTTGAAACCCACCACTGGTCCTTGGATATGATTATTCTACACTATCATGCT